GGGGTAAAATCTAGCACCTAAACTTCTCGGATAAGGGGGGAAAATCTCGGAGGTCTCGTGTGCAAAATGCGCACCTTAAAAATCCATTGGTGGTTCGAAAATCGATAAGAGTAGGTTTTGGCCGCCACCCGGGCAAAGTTTAATCTCAATTTCTACCAAACTGAAAATGCTTAAAGCGATCATATGACCTTATGCAGTTGCGAGCACTGTAAAATACTAACCAAAAACCAAACAAACAAAAAGTTGAAGGCAGCATACGTGGGCGCTGGCTGTAAAAGAAAGTTGACAAGCAAAGCTCTATGACTTACTCACTTTCATCTGTCCGCAGTTAAGGCGAGATAACAATAAAACTCTCTGCTATTTTCGTAGGTCTTTGCGCTCAGGTCTGAGAGTTGAATGATCAACAGAATCTCTAACTAAAAGCTCATTAATGAAGGTCACTGCAAAACTAAGGTTAAGACACGTTTTCTTTGATGTCATCCTAAAGTAAAAGAATAAAAGGTGATTTACAGCACACATCTGACATGTAAAAAATACGTCCTCTTTTGATCAACGCCACACTGTAACACACGTCTATGTAACAAGGCCAAACAGACGGGAGAGTACTTTTAGAGACTACGTGGAGACGTCAAGACATTTTTGGGAGGAAATCTACAAGCATGCACTACTAATATGTGGGGACAGGGTGGTGTCACTGTCCCATAATAAGCAATGTGTAGGCTAGGTTATTGTTAATCTTTTATAGTAGTGAACTTGTGAAAGCACCCAAACGGTGGTGTTTAATGTAGGACTCACAATACAGAAGCTTTTTTTTTAATTATTGGAGCAAGAGACTTTAAAAAAATTATTATTTTCTGTTGGACGCTGGCCTAAAGGAGTGCCAAACAAAGTTACGGGCGCACTGGGTAATCATTAAATAGCTAACATTTATTGACGCGCGCAGACAGAAGTGAACTTGTTACATGTATTGACTAGACTATTGGGGATTTCCCACTCCGCCAATATACATGTCCTGCGAATCACGGGTCACGGATCTATTTATAGGTTCTCATCTTTTCTTAGCCGCACTCTTACGCAACAAGTTGTTGAGGCTGCACCCGGGACATGCGTGGGCAAACACCCTGCTACTTCTGGGACCTGGTTCTTGTTTGCATACATGTACTTAGACTAGAGGCCACAGTTGATGGGTT